AAAGAGAGAGAAAGAGATATTACATCAGAAATTAAAATAAATCTAAATTTTGTAAGAAAACCTACAAAATAAGAAAATAAATTGAGCGTCATTTTTATATATAGCAATTGAAACTATAATTCTAATTTTTGTAAGAAAACGTAATGAGAGAATAAATTAAAAACTACTATATATTATTATGGGACTTAGAGAATAATATCTATTAACTAATAATAAAGAACAAGCAATTTGTTTTATTTGTTTCAGTGGAGTTGGTGATACCAATTACTTGATGTAAGCGTTCAGATTACAAGTTAACATGAAGATAGCTTTATTGATTACTTATTACCACAAGCAAAAGCTTATTAGACAAATTTACCAAAAAAAAAAAAAAACTTATTAGACACCAAAAATAAAATAGTATTGTCTAAAGCGCATGGCATTATTCGGCAGCTTTTGCATAACTATGGCATTTATGATATAATTGGTTAAGTTAAAGTAGACAAAAATAAAAAATAAAAAATTAGGTCATAGGCCCTTAATAGACCACCTATCTTACCCCCACCCTTACTCACTGTGTAATTTAATTGTTTGGAATTGATAGTTTGTAATGTGGTAATATTTTTCCATAACAACAATTATACATGTGTGTGTGTGTGTTTTTTTTTTTTTTTTAAAAGATTACATCAGAAATTAAAAACTAAACTAAATTTTCTAAAAAAAACCTACAAAATAAGAAAATAAATTGAACGTATTTATTATATATAGCAATTGAAACTATAATTTTAATATTTCTAAGAAAACGTAATGAGAGAATAAATTAAAGACTATTATTATGGTAATTAAAGAATGATATCTATTAACTAATAAAGAACAAGCAATTTATTTTATTTGTTTCAGGGGGTTGGTGAAAACAATTAATTAATGTAAGCGTTATAACATAGCTTTATTGATTACTTATTATTTATTTTTTTGGTAATTGATCCTAATTACCTCTTTGAGGCGAATCAGAACCCTCGGTATCCCCACGGGTTCGACTCTTTGAGCCGCCTATGGGACTAATCCAGAGTTCGTGTTGATGTAGCATTCTGTTTTCTGTTTCAAGTTAGTTAGCTTTATTTACTGCCTGGGCTTATATGTTAATTGGGCTTATTTGTACTGGGCCTTTTCCTTCAGTTTAGGATTAGTTAGTTAGATTGGTGATGTCATATTTAAACTCACTGTGTGTAGAAACTTAACTGATTTTTCATTCATTCCCTTATTCTTGTTAATGTGGATCGATTCAGATTCTAAGATGGTATCAGAGCTCTGATCGGAGCTCTGATATTCGCCGTTCTTTGTTTGCGTTCTGCGAACTTCTTCTCTTCCTATTTCTCGTTTTCAATTCGTTCTTGATTTAGCTTGCATGCACTCACTGAAGTGAATAGATGGCGAATCAGAGTTCCGACATAGATCAAGAGAATGTAACAAATCAAATACCGATTGTTACAGATCAGATTTTTCCTTCCGCAACACATGTTCCGATCGTTGATGATCCTTCAAATCCAGGTAGCACTTACTATGTGCATCCTAATGAGAATCCTTCTTTAGTTTTGGTATCTTCACTCATGGATGGAAAGAACTACCACAATTGGGCCAGATCTATGAAAATGGCTTTAATATCGAAGAATAAACTCTCTTTTGTTAATGGAACTATCTCTGTTCCAGATCCTTCTGATCCTTATTTCGCTGCATGGGAACGATGTAACACCATGGTGCTGTCATGGTTACATCACTCCATAACTCAATCTATTTCACAGTCGATCTTATGGATGGATCGAGCCTCAGATGTATGGAATGACCTCCGAGAGAGGTTCTCTCAGTCAGATATCTTCAAAATCTCAGATCTACAGGATGAGATTTATAGGATGCATCAAGGAGACAGTAGCATCTCTGATTACTACACACGACTCAAGATCCTATGGGATGAGCTTGAAGCGTTACAGCCAACACCAACATGCAAATGCATTAAACCTTGTTGTTCAATTGCTTTGAAGGTTAGGAGTATTCGTGAAAGAGATTACTCTATTCGCTTCCTTAAAGGATTAAATGAACGATTCAGTCATGTAAGGTCTCAGGTTATGTTGATGGATCCTTTGCCATCAATTAATCGAGTTTTCTCGATGGTCATACAACAAGAGAGACAGTTGCAACTAGAAGGTAACTCTCTTAATTTTGAAGGTCCAAAAACTTTCTACAATTCTGCTGATCAAGGTAGAGGACGATCACAACCTTATCAAGCACGTGGCAGAGGACGTGGATCCTATGTTGGTCGAGGGAGAACGGGTTCAAATAGACTGTGTACTTATTGTGGAAGGACAAGTCATACGGTGGAGACATGCTTTGAGAAGCATGGCTATCCACCAGGTTTCAAACAGAGAAATACTGATTACAAGCCAAGTTTTGATTATAGGCCAAATGTAGCACACAAGGCCAATGTGGTTGATGTAAACCAGAATCATGATCCTACTGTTCCACACCATCATGCAGCTTTGCAACCAGATTCTAAAGAAGCCTTCACAAAGGATCAGTATCAAACCATCCTTGGAATGATACAACAATCTGTGCAACAAGGTTCCCCTCATATCAGCAACATGGTAGAAGCTAAGGTCCTCAATGCTGAGACCACTGATTCATCTTCAGGTAAATCTAGAATTCAATGGATTTTAGATACTGGAGCAACCGATCACATCACTCATTCCATGGACAGTTTGTCATACATTCAAAAGATTGAACCAATAGCTATCACTCTACCTAATGGAAAACAGGTGTTATCTTTTCATTCTGGAACTGTTATTCTTTCCAAGACTTTAACATTGACAAATGTGTTATATGTTGAAGAATTCAAGGTCAATTTGATTTCAATAAATAAATTGATTCAAGACACTAATTGTACTGTGATTTTCCAGCATCTTCAATGTATCATTCAGCAAATACCTTCCAGGCTAACGATTGGTTCAGCTAAGTTAGAGAGAGGTCTCTATATCCTCAATCAACATTGCAGCAATTCTGATGGCACAAAGGGAGAAGGACTATGGAGCAATACTGCTCAGAATAAGAAAGTAGCAATGGAGTCTTCAACCATTGATATATGGCATTCTCGATTAGGACACTGCTCAAAGTCTGTAATAAGAGCCATGATAGCTCAACACCCTTTCATTTCTTGTAAAGATACAGATGATCCATGTGACATATGCCATTTAGCTAAACAGAAGAAATTACCTTTCAATACTAGTTCCAGTATTTCAAGTTCAGCTTTTGATTTAGTTCATATTGATATTTGGGGGCCATACTCGATTCCATCCATTCATGGGCATAGATACCTTTTGACTATAGTAGATGATCACACACGGTTTACTTGGGGCATACTTATGACATCTAAAGATGAAACCAGAAATCACATTAGATCCTTTGTTACACTCATTGAAAATCAGTTTGGTATTACTGTCAAAACTTTTCGAAGTGACAATGGGCAAAAATTCTTAATGAATGAGTTTTTTGCTCAAAAAGGAATAGTCCATCAAACCTCATGCATTGAGACTCCACAGCAAAATGGAACAGTGGAGAGGAAACATCAGCATATATTAAATATTGCCAGAGCCTTACTTTTTCAAAGTAATATTCCAAAGAGTATGTGGTCATATTGTATTATGCATGCCATACATCTTATTAATCGGCTTAGTTCACCTGTCTTGCACAACAAATCTCCCTATGAGTTGCTATATAATAAGCCACCAATACTTACTCATCTTAAAGTATTTGGGTGTTTAGCTTTTGCCTCAACCACTGTCAGTGGGCGTCTTAAATTTGATGCTAGAGCTAGGAAATGCCTCTATCTAGGTCACAAAGATGGAGTAAAAGGATACATATTGTATGATGTGTTATCTAAGCAGATTTTCCTTTCAAGAAATGTGATTTTCCATGAAGGTTTCTTTCCTTTTTCAACTGATCAATCTACAGAACACTCAGGTAATATTCAATGCTTACCATTTGTAATTGAGTCTTCTGTTACATATGATGCACCACACAGCAGCAGTAGAGACACTCCTATATCTCCACCAGCTCTTACTCATCAGCCATTATCAGCAGCAGATCATTTATCTGACAGTGCGCCTACTCCGTGTGATACACCACAACATGATGGATCAACCAATGACAGTAGTGATGATTCTTCTATATCTATGCCTGCAAATATATTATCTGATGATCACTCTCAACTTCCTACTGTTCCCCGAAGGTCCAACAGGTTAAGCATTCCACCAAAACATCTACAAGACTACTTGTGCAACAATTCAGCTGTTTCTACTGATCATCCAATTTCTTCAGTGCTCTCTTACACCAAGTGTTCAGCTGAACACTCATCTTTCTGTCACAACATTAGTTCTTTCATTGAACCTCGCACATACAAACAGGCATCACAATCTAGTGAATGGGTTACTGCCATGGCTGAAGAGATACATGCTTTAAACAAAAATCAAACCTGGACTTTAGTAGATTTACCTCATGGTAAACGTCCAATTGGCTCTAAATGGGTCTACAAAATCAAACATCATCAAGATGGCTCCATTTCTAGATACAAGGCACGTCTTGTTGCGAAGGGATATAATCAAATGGAAGGTGTAGACTATTTTGAAACCTTCTCCCCTGTTGCAAAACTAACCACTATTCGGTTGCTATTAGCAGTTGCTGCAGCTCGTGGCTTTTTCATGAAACAACTTGATATTAACAACGCTTTTCTCCATGGTGACCTCCTAGAAGAAGTTTACATGTCTGTTCCAGATGGGGTCTCTCCTCCCTCTCCAAACTAAGTATGTAAACTCCAAAAATCACTCTATGGGCTTAAGCAAGCTAGTCGTCAGTGGAATGCTCGTCTCACCACTGAACTTCTGCTCCTTGGATACACCCAATCTTCAGCTGATCACTCCTTATTCACCAAGGTTAGCAATGGTACTTTTACTGCATTACTGGTATATGTTGATGACATGGTCCTGGTTGGTGACAATATGGATGAGATCAATTCTGTTAAACAACACCTTGATCAACAGTTCTGCATCAAAGACTTAGGACCTTTGAAATTTTTTCTTGGTCTTGAAATAGCTCGGTCACCTCATGGAATTGTTGTTAATCAACGGAAATATGTTCTAGAACTGCTTGCCGATAGTGGTTTGCTTGGGGCCAAGGCTGCCTCCACACCAATGGAGCCTACCCTACGTTTATGTCAGAATCAAGGTGATCCTTGTGCTGATCCTGCATCATATCGTAGACTTGTGGGGCGTCTATTGTATCTTGCTAATACTCGACCGGACATATCTTTTGCTGTGCAACAGCTTAGCCAATTTGTGGCTAACCCAATGATAGCTCATTTTGATGCTGCCATTCGAGTACTCAGATATCTAAAGGGGTCTCCTGGCAAGGGGTTATTCTTCTCTTCTAGTAGCTCTCTTACACTTTCTGGTTTCAGTGATGCTGATTGGGCCACATGCTTGGATACTCGTCGCTCTATTACTGGGTTTTGTGTCTTTCTTGGCACCTCTTTGATCTCTTGGAAATCCAAGAAGCAAACCACTGTAAGTCGATCCTCCGCTGAAGCAGAATACCGTGCCTTAGCCTCTTTGACTTGTGAGATCCAATGGCTCACCTATATCTTACATGATCTTCGTGTTCCCGTTTCTGGTCCTGCTATGCTTTATTGTGACAATCATGCTGCAGTTCATTTGGCCCATAATCCTTCTTTTCATGAAAGAAGCAAGCACATAGAGCTTGATTGTCATGTTACACGCCATCATATTCTGCAAGGACTGATTCATTTGATACCTATTGCCTCATCTCAACAGCTTGCAGACATGTTTACCAAAGCCCTTCATCCTACTCATTTTCGTGACTTCATGGACAAGTTGGGGTTTAAGGATATTCACCTTCCAACTTGAGGGGGGGGGGGGGGTGTGATGTAGCATTCTGTTTTCTGTTTCAAGTTAGTTAGCTTTATTTACTGCCTGGGCTTATATGTTAATTGGGCTTATTTGTACTGGGCCTTTTCCTTCAGTTTAGGATTAGTTAGTTAGATTGGTGATGTCATATTTAAACTCACTGTGTGTAGAAACTTAACTGATTTTTCATTCATTCCCTTATTCTTGTTAATGTGGATCAATTCAGATTCTAAGAGTTCGGGTGCGAGTCCAAGGATTACGATACTTATGCTCCTCCCCAGATGGTGTTGGTGGAATTTGAACCGAGGTCCTCTACCACCACTTAATCCCCATGCTACCAACTGAGCCACCACACTTTACCACAAGCAAAAGCTTATTATGTCTTTGCGGTCTGAAATAGATCAATTTTGAAGTACAAGTTATTTTATCTAATTTTTTCAGTTTGATCATATAATTATCTATTTGGTTTGAATTTTTTTATAATCCGATCCAATTCAACTTAATTTTATTCGATTTAAATTGGATCGATTTTTGATTTTTCAAAAAGTCTAAAATTTCAGACATACAAATCACTAGCTATATCAAAATAAAGTCATACAAAGTTACAAACCACTGAAATAAGTCTTTAAACTCATGAAAAGTTAAAATAGATTAATAGACAATAAAAAACTAAAACAAGATAATTTGCTGTCAATAACATCCAAGATTCCAAGTCATCATTTTTCAAAAATAATAAATACATAATACATTAAATCAATTTTTATTAACCAAACTGGAAACCCATCCAATCCAATTAAAATGGGGTAAAAGAGCGCACCCTTGATGCGGTGGCGATTCAAAAAATCAATTTCGATTTTTGGTTTTCAATTTTTCGGTTTGGTCATCGCGGTTTGAATCGATTGATGAATACCATATTAGACCCAAAAACTAAAATAGTATTGTCTAAAGGGCATGGCATTATTAAAGTAGCTATTGTATAATTATGACATTTATGATATGTTATACTTAATTGTTCAAAACATCAGTTTCTTTTGAAATAATTGTCCAACTATCTCATAGTTCTTCCATTGACCTTAAGTGTGCTAACTATGCCCCAAGGCCAGTGTCAATATATGGAAAAATATTTGAGCAATTGTGCACGCACGTTTCAAACTATTACAAAATTAAAAATGTTGATTCATTCATAAACTGAAATAATTTAAAAGAGCACAAAATACATAACAAATTACGGATATAAAAACAATACTTATATGGTTGACCAATTGACTCGAGTTCCTTATATCCGCTGCCCAAAACCTTGATTGGTGTTCCTTATTCAGAGTGTGGCACTACATATTTCAGCTAATAATATTATACCCCCTAATGATCAACTAAAGAAAGTGGCAAATTAGCAGAAATACTATAGTGGATCTGAGGAAAAGGATGTGGAGGGTATCTGGTGACAACCGATAGATCATTGGACCATGTATAATGGCTGGTTGGCTTTGTTGCAACTGGGCGGGCACTTGATGTATGCCGACCAGTATTTCACCTTGGTCGGCAGGGATTTGTTGGGGCATCCCATAGTGGATCTGAGGCGGAGGTGGTAAGATTGGAACCATGCTTTCAGCTTGTACTTCCTGTACGAATGGCTGAGGGCTGAAGTGGGAGGTTTGACGGAGGACGGTGATTTCTTTCCTCATTTCGTCCATCTGGCATTGGATAGCCGGGTCTACAACAACTGGGGCAGTAGCGGTAAGTTTGGCAACATCCGGAAAGGTCACCGCTGGTCTAACCGAGAAATCTTCCAACGACCCCCACCCATCAGTATCACCACCTCTCTCTCTCTCTCTCTCTCTCACTGTGTCGTTCACTCCAATTAGCAACAACCAAACGTGATCCTTTTTTCTTTTTCTTTTCCACACACGTTTTTTATTTTATAAAAAATTAATTTAATTTTACAAAATAGCCCATTAAAAATTTAAAATAGAAAAAAATATGTATATTTACGTACTTTAAAAAATGATAAATTATTTATTAAATTTAAAAAATTATTATTATTCTGAACTTTTACCGTGGATCCAAGACGTGACTTGTGCACGATTAATTAAGAAGATTTAATTAAATTTTTGAGTAAATGAGTCTGGGTCCTAGGACACACATTAGTTAGTCGAGTGGGGTGTTTTGATCTTATATATGTTAGATATATATTGTTTTGTAAATAGTAAACTTTTACGTTTCGTTTATGTTTTGTTTTGCGATTTTACGTTTTTTTCTCATCTCTACGTAGACTCTATATTTTAACAACATTGGTGGTGATGCTAGAATGAAAAAAGGGAGTTCCTACCTTTATCAGAACTTCCGATAAAGATATGGGAATTGGAGTTTACCTTTTTTCACAGACGGTACCAATGAACCATTGGGATGGTAAGGGAGCCACGTATATACCCCAAGGGGGTGTGATGATCGATATAGGGTTTCCTTAGACAGTAATAGTATGAACTAAGGATGAGCAAGGGGTCCAGGTGCTATGTGTAACGAAAAGTGGGGGTGGTGTGAACGGTTACGATGACTCTCCAAGTTAACAGGGTAACAACTCATACAATAGAGATGCCCCTATAATGTAGCCTGAGGGGGTATTTATAGGTCTCACCAAGGAGAGGGAGAGCAAGAAGTCAATTGTTATGGGGAAGGACCAAGATAGCCTGTACCTTGCAGAGTTTGCAACCACTGCAATGCATTTTGCGGTTGATGTGCGAGGAGGGGGGGGGGGGGGGGGGGACCTCAAGTGTATATTCCTGGTGCTTGGGGAGGCAAAAGGGTGTGGAGCTTCCCAACATAAGCCATTTTGGTGTCTTACGTTGGGATGCCCGGCAACAGCGCAGGTGATAGCGGCACTGACACGTCAAAGGTGACAGGGCTGGGGTGGTTGTACCTTTTTGATAATGGGCCGTCCTAACTGGGCTTGTCAATTGGGCCGGCTGGGACACTAACCTTGTTCTAACACGCATACATCATATATTTTGTCGTCTTGAGGTACTGTATCATGTAAGATGTTGGTGTAGCAAAGAGTTGCTGAAAATAAGCAATACAAATAAGTGCAGCAAGTAGTAATCAGCATAATTTCATGTGTGTTTGGATTATTAGCTTATTTATGTTTAAAACGGCTTATAATCAAAAGTTTTGTAAAAGAGCTTTTGAGAAAAAAAGATAAAGAAAAATAAAAGATGCAATTATATGCAGAGAAATAATCAAATCCAAGCAAAGTATTGGAACAAAACATTCAGTTGCATATTTGCAAGAGGAGAGATATTCTCACTACCAACTTACTACCTATCTAATCACCATTAGATTAACATTTTCTCTCTCTTCAAATTTTTTTTAACATTCTCTCTCCTTGATCCAATAGTGATGTGATGAGTAGTAAGTTAGTAGTAAGAATTTTTGGTAGTTAGAATATCCTCACTCTATTTGCAATTGGCTAAGTATAGAAACGCAATTTATATCTGTTGATGGATACAAAGGGGGAAAAAACCACCCTTTTGGTAAATTCAATTACATTCATTATTTCTGGCATGAAAACAGAAAATGAAAGAGAGGGGAAATAAAAGCTAAGAGAGAAACTCAAATTTAACCAGTGTTTTGCATGCCAGCTGCAATACCCTTCATGGTGAGAATGAGGGTGTCTTCCAAACCAGGGGCATATTCACTTGTTGGGTTCAGTGTTTTAAGTTCATCAGCAGGTTTACTTATCTCTATAGACTCTTTTGAGATGTGGGGTCGCAGCTTCACATTATAGTTTGGATCACGGATACGTTTCAATGTGTAAGCTTGGCAAACATTTAGTGTAGTAATATATGAATCACGCAAGCGGAGTCTTTGCTTCAAGTATGGATCTCCTTCAAGAAGATCCTTATGCCCAGCCACCTAAACAATGCATCAGAAAAAATAGAAAATCAGCTTGTCTAATAACTAACCAGCTTTTGTAATTTTCGAAATGAACCAAAAAAAAAAAAAACACACTCCCCAACATTAAATCCTGATTAACAAGATTGGGGTGAGGGCAATCCTTGTATCCTTGCATAATTACAAAAAAGCTGTTTTCCAAATTCGAACCCGTAACTTTCAATCACAAGGAAATAACTTTAATTTTAGAAATGAAATAAAAACAAGATGTTACATGGTAAAAGTAGCTTTACCTGAAGGAGGAGTTTCTTAGTTTCTTCAAACATGGTCCTCAATTGCTCCCCAAATGGCCACAAATCTTTTGAAACAAGGAGCCTATCATATAGAGCAGCTATCCCTGGGTCTCCTTTGGAAAACACCATTTCCACTAAATCAATAGTGACCCTAAAGAAAGGCCATTGATTGTACATCTCTTGCAGCATATGAATATTCCTAACATCCTTCTCAATAACATGTTTGAATGCTGCTCCAAATCCTAGCCACACTGGAAGATGAAACCTTGTTTGTGTCCAGGCAAAAATCCAAGGTATAGCTCGGAGTGACTCAATGCCTCCACTTGGCTTTCGCTTTGCTGGTCGACTTCCAATATTCATCCTCCCATACTCCAACTCTGGTGTAGCCTGCATGTTAAGGTTGACAAGTTATTGTTGAATTTAAATGTTTGTTTACTTTAAAAAGAACCAGAAGGTCACGGTTTCAAGTCTAGAAACAGTTTCTTTTGCAAAAATATAATGATAAGCCTACATCAAAATCGACCATCATCTCTACCTTCTAAAGTTCGGAGCCTTTTACACTAGAATTTGTCCTTTTACTTAAATAAGGGCATCCTGGTGCTATAAAGCTCCCGCTTTGTGTAGGGTCTAGAAAAGGGTTAGACTCATTGTGTGAGTCTATAATAGGTAGTCTTACTTCACATTTGCATTGCAAGAGACTGATTACATAAATCCAACCTGGCTTTTAGATCACGCGGTGACAACACCAACCATAGTGCTAAGAAAGAAAATAAAAAATAAGTCATTGATATTTTTCATTTTGTAGATATCTTACCAGGCGGAAATACTCAACAAAACGGGGTTCTTTGAATACAATAGAACGGTATTCCTCTGTGGCAATGACGGCCATCTGATCCATCAAAGCACGCCATTCAGGTTTAGGAGAAATAATAGGGCGCATTCCATGCTCTAGAGTAGCTGCAGTGTAACGTTGAAGTGTTCTGAAACACAAGTGCTGTTCTCCAAATGATTGCTCAATAACTTCACCTTGAACAGTTACACGAAGTGATCCATGGATTGTATCTGGTGGCTGAGACAAGATAGCAAGGTGAGTTGGACCCCCTCCTCTCCCAACAGTCCCTCCACGACCATGGAACATTGTTAGCTTAACACCAAATTCCTTAGCTACCTTTATAAGTTCCTCTTGAGCCTTATATAACTGCCATGCTGCAGAGAACCTTCCAGCATCTTTACCCGAATCCGAATATCCAATCATGACTTCTTGCTTCCCATTGATCCGATTTCTGTACCAATCTACGGAAAACAATCGCGACAAAGCAGCAGGAGCTGCCTCCAAGTCCGCAAGCTTCTCAAACAATGGAACAACTCTTAATGGATGCTTTACATGGCATTCACGTTGCAGAAGTTCAACTGCAAGCACATCAGATGGTGCAGTTGCCATTGATATGATATATGCTCCAAAGTTGTCTTGTGGTAATTCTGCTATGACATGAAATGTATCCAAAACATCTCTAATTTCTTCAGTTTGAGGAAGGTCAAGTCCAAAAAGTGGTCTTTTCCCACTCAATTCAGACAAAAGCCATTGTTGCCTTTTTTCTTCAGACCATTCCTGGTAGGAACCAATTCCCAAATGTTTGGTTATGGCATCCAACACATCAGTGTGTCGGTCTGATTCTTGCCTGATATCAAGCCTCACTAGGGACAGTCCAAAAGTTGAGACTTGCCTCAAGAAATCTAGAAGGGTTCCATCAGCAATTGCTCTATCCCCACAAGCACATAGGGATCTGTAACACAGTTCCAGAGGTTCCAAGAACTACACAAAATTTTAAATTCAGTTAGAAACTCTAGGATAAAGATATGTGCTAATGAATGTCTTTTAACAGTAGTTGAGAAGTTCCAAAGACTACACAAAATTTAAGAATAACAAGTCTTGTACAAAATCTTAGTCGTCATCGACTTGTATCTCATGGCTCACATGACGAACAAATTAGAGCTATTAAATACAAATGGAAACAATAGCTAGAATTGGGAGTAAAACTTATTAATCTTATACTGGTTTATATTGATTCTTCCCTCAAAATTTGAGAGTTTAGTTAGTATCTATCAACCAAAAATTAACATGTAAAGAACCTGATGGGTGCCGGTCACAGTGGATTAAAGTGGTTGTTTAAACCCCAAAGGTAGAAAGTTTGATCTTTGGAGAAGCATTCTTGGGGAGACCTTTGGCATTCACCGCACCCGGCTTAAATTGCGAAAACAATGTATATATCTCCCCAAAAATTAACATGTAAAGAACTAAATGTTTCATACAATTTATCCTTGTCCTGTCTGTTCTTTCCTTCTTCACCACCAACCAAATTGAAGAAAAAATTAATTAACTAGTAGTAATGTAAATATTGATGAAAATCCAACAACGTTAACAAATTTTTTTATAAGAAAATAAAACAATATTAACAACTAAGATGGTCCAGAGAGATTTTCGCTGACTCCATAAACAAACAGTGGAGGCAATAATTGCATAAAATTGATGATTTGTAAACAGCTAAATTCAGAAACTGGACTGGATTGTATTGTTTGTTAAAAAGAAAGTTGAAAGAACAACATACCTCCTCAACATTGGTGAAAGTTGCTTCCTCTGGAATGTCAGAGTGACCATGAGCTAGCAAATGGCGAGAACGCTCACGAGTTTGGTAGAGCCTATCCCTTACTTCACCCAATACAACACGATATGGTTCATTTGGAGGAATGATTTTCCAAAATTCTGTATCATGAATCAAGTAAATAGGATCACAAAAGTGAACTAATCAACCTATTGGACATTTTTCCAAAAACAAAGTATAACACCTATCCCAGGATTTAGAGAAAGACTTTATAGTAAACACCTATGTAGTGTTTTGCAACTGCATCTTTCTTGGAGGACCTGTTAAGTTCATCAGCACGAACACGTAGCTCGTCATTGCAGCGCCACATTGACAGCTACGGAAACATGAAGGGAAATCAGCAAAATGGTGCCAGAGTAATAAACCATCCACAATGAACATTTCAAAAGATTTGGAGTGCTATTAATTACTTCAAACATAAGATTCTCTATCTGGGAATAATACAAATTAGCAGCCATCATTCTTGCCAATAAGCAAACATCCCTTGTCACTTCAGGTGTTACTCTTGGATTGCCTGCATCATATTGAACATAGTTAGACACATATGAGAAGCTTAATATTATCATTTATAAGGTCACATTAGAGGGCAAGCCTTAGAACAGCGGTAAGATTGTTTTTTGTGACCTTCCGGTCACAGGTTTGAGTATGGGAAATTATCGCTTTGCAAAATTGCAAGAATAAGATTGTATACAATCGACCATCACTCCTATCCTCGCAAGTTGGGAGCCTTGTGTATTGGGGTTTGCTCTTTGCCCTTATTACAAGGTCACATTAATAGTTTTATATTTCTCTAACACGCCTCTGAATATAATAATAGCCCATTAAAATTATCCACCTAACCATGCTAAGAAACTTCACAATATTTAATTATTTATTAATAAAATGGTGGTGGTGAAGATTGAACTCATGACCTAATCAGAGAATCTGATACAATATATGAAACTAGTTCAACCCAAATGCTTTAGATGTTAGGTTAATGTTACATTAATAATTTTATATTTTTCTAACACAATTATCATATAGGATTTTGTTTTAGCATTTTGAAGATAATATGCAGATCCTTCCATTTCTTCTTGTTAGAGTATAATAGAAACCATTAAAAATACCATCACTCAACACCTTAAGGTTTTGGATTGAAGTGGTTCTTTACATGGTATCAGAGCTTGAGTGACTACAAGGTTACAAGTTCAACCCTCATCGCCCCCCACTTTAAAGTGGAATTAAAATAAAAAGCACAAAAGGTAAACCAAAAATTGGGCCTGTGCAATATCCACGCTCCAAGCCCAAAGAGCTCTTGCGTGAGGGGGTGTGTTAGAGTATAATATAAACCATTAAAAATACCATCACCCAACACCTTAAGGTTTTGGGTTGAAGTGGTTATTTACACTTCGTATACTGACAAATATTATTGGACAAAGATAATGACCATACCATCACGATCACCACCCATCCAAGAAGAAAATTGAATAAGTGGAGCATTATAAGGTACACGTTCATTAACGCCTATATTCTTCAAAGCTGTGTCAACACGACGCAGAAATTTGGGTACACCCTTCCAAATTGTTTCATGGAAGTAGCTCATCCCTGCTCTCATCTCATCTTGTGGGGTTGGAGGGTTCCTCTTGATTTCATCAGTACGGAAGGCAGCTTGGATCTACATGAACAGAAGTAACAAAAGCAATTTCAAACAAAGGCACAATGAGGAAGAAAAAAAAAAAAATCTTATATTCTCATTTGTAGAATAGGCCCCATGTGAAGGTAGTAAACAAAAATTGTCTGTCTATACATACCAATGAAGATTCTGATTTCAATGTCAACATTTAAACAATAAATGTTTTAATGGTTAATTTAGTTTGTACTATTAAAGGAAGCCAATAATAAAAAAACGGAATCACCAAAGTCATTTCTGATTTTCACAGCTGGCTTGAAGATACAATAAGTAATTAAAAGTTTAGATTAGGGGAAGGCATGCCCCTTGCAAGGTCAGAGTAGACCACCAACCTCAACGGAAGAGAGAAACCTGAGACTGGCTGTAAAAACTAGGAAACATAGCTATGCACTCATAGATAGCTGCAGATATAAGCAATTAAATCTTGGACATGCAACTCCTACAAGTATATTATGTAATAAACAATTCTCCCCATTATCCTGTGCTGTTTGATAGATCAAATAGCATATAAATTTTCAGTTGTGTGAAATTTTTATTTCAATATTTACAGGTGGTGACACCAAGAGAAGTATAAAAAGAAGGCTGCGGAATACTTCAACTGCACTCAGGAGAAAAGAGGGAATTATTGGATACAGGTCTTGGGTGATTCTGTATAATACAAGTCCACATTTTCCTCAGCATCTGATTTATTATGTGGTTTTTATTCTACCAAGAACCGGACATGAGAAAAAGCACTTGCAACAAAAAAGAAAAAATGGTAGAATTATCACAGTTTAGAAAAAACATTAAATAAAATCCTAAGAATTTTGATATTCACCTCCCTCTGTAGAGCCTCATCAAGCTCCTGTTTATCATCAGGAGTGATGTCTTTGGCATACAATTGAGTTAAACAATTTCGTATCCTGCAAAGCAGAGGAACAAAGTAATGCTTAAATTTCTTCATACAGTAAATCTATTTAAAAAACAATAAAAAAAAAGGACAAAACCCGATGCACAAGGCTTCCTGACTTGCAAGGGTAGGGGCGAGGATTGATTGGACGCAGCCTTACCATTACATTTTCGCAAAGAGATTGTTTATTGACTCGAAACCATAACCTTCCGATTATAAGAAGCAACCTTATGCTACTCCAAAGTTCGCCCTCTATTTAAAAAACAATAAAAAGGAGAAAAAAAAAAAAAAACCAAGAGCTGAAGCTGAAAAATACTATATTTTGAAACAAACCTTCCATGTTTTTGAAGCAAAGATCTACGAACTGCTTGAGTAGGATGAGCTGTAAGAACAAGATCAACAGTCTGGTTTTTCAGTGCATCAAAAACTTCCTGAGGAGACTTGTTCAGTTCCCCTACAAGTCTCTTGAGAGTTTCTTCAATATCTGATTCAGTGGTTGCATTATTCTCATCAGCAAAATCCCCTTTTTTCAACTTGTTCCTTCGGCGATGAGCAATCTGAACCTCTTCAGCTAAGTTGGCCAAGTTAAGCATGTGGGAAAAGGACTTTGCAACAACAATAGAATCTCCAGCATCCAAACTAGTTATCAGATTTCCAAGTTCTTCCAGTTTGTGAGGGTCATGCTTTCCTTCATACTCAGCAGATAGCTCATACACTTCTTGAACCTGTGCAACAACAAATTAACCATCAAACAGTTTTCCTTTTCATAATGTCAAAGAGAAATGCAAGTGCACAAAAATCTGGTATATATTGGTTAGTGCCAACTATACAATGAAGTTTAACTCCAAACACCAAGAGACATAATGGGTCATGTTTTGTATCCTTATATAGGTAAGCTAAACATATAGTCAAAGTATTTAAATTAAACAAAGGTAAAATGCAAATTAACCAAGAACCTTGTTGTTTCAGTTTTATCAATTGGAACACTTAAACTTTCAATATACAGCACATATCCTGTGTTTAATTGACAAATTGAAACCACAGAGTCAACTGTTAAATTTGAAAGGAGAAATTTGCATTTTAGCCTAAAAATAAAAACCAACACTAGACCAAAGAAAATTTCCCTTCTAGATTCCACTATGCAAAGGTCTTTCTTTCACATACAAGAGCATACCAAAAGTTCTTTTTCCTTTACACTTCCCAAACCGCTAGACCCAACCCAGAACCCAAAATCCTTTAGTACATGTAAAGTTCCATGCTTTTTCACAACAAACAGATCATATCAACTTTCACAACAAAATTGAGACAATTGGGATCACAGGGTGAGTAACCAAATCAAATTTTGAGCACAAAACCAAGTCCAAAGAAATTCCAAAGACTTCAAAACAGTCAAAAACTCACCGTTTCTTTCAGATCCTCCCCATGTAAATCCTGGAGAATATCAAGGAACCGATCCAGTAGCAGAGCATCATACTCGACCAGTTTGTCATCTTCACTCACTTTGGCTGGAGCCAATTGCCGAAGCTGAGCATCAATGGATGCCATCTTTTCCAAGTTTTTGTTCGCCATTGCAATCTTTCAAGCCCCCCACCTGCAAAAGTCAAAATCAAGCAGCAAAAAAAAGATAAAAAAGCAAAATCCACTTTAAGAAAAGTAAACAACTGAACATAAAAAAATAATGGGGCAAATTAAAACAACATCTATAGATTTTTTTTTTAAAAATAAAAAAATAAATAAAAAAAGAAGAAGAAGAACAGAATGGAGACATTGACAACAAAAATTGGATGGTTGGAAAACACAAAGTAGAGAGAGATCATGCTGTTTGCTACTACAACGGGAACAAAAACAAGTGGCTATGGAAACACAGCATGTAGAATATTGAAGAAAAAAAAATGCAACTTTTGTATTACACCAATGATGAATTATTGATTGGGATCTAATGTAGTACCAGTGTAAAGGGCCAATTTGAAAAAGGAAGAAGAAGATGATGACACAACCAACGAACAATAATTAGAGAGATGAGAGAGTCACAAATACAAAGCGGTGAAGAGGGTGTCTTTATATAGAAAAACAGACATGTAACAAAAATAAAAAGAATAAAAAGGAGACATTTGATGTGAAAAACCTTTTCTTTTCTTTTTTTGAGTAAAGAGATGTGAAAAAAATTTAACTCTCACTGTAGTGGACTAATCTAGTACTTCAAAACTAATGTAAGTTGCTGTTGTTTCAGACAATGACTCTTTTTGTGTGTGTTTGTTACAGCTCCAACTTTCCGTGAGGTGGAATATGCTTTCAGTTTTTCAAAGATTCTGTCTTTAAGGGTAGTTGGTAGTTTTACAAGTAAATATCATTTTCGGTCCTCAATAAATTTCACGATGTCCTCTTTAGTTTTTAACAAATAAAAAAATTATTTGTGGTATCTGAGAAATTCAAAGTGGACTCATTTAAGTCCTTTTGAGGGACTAATGTGGATCTTTTTTGAATTTGTGAGGGATCACGAATTCAACTAAATAGGTCCATTTTAAATTTCTTACAGACCACAAATAGCCTTTTATTTGCTAGGGACTAAAACGAGTATAGTAAAATTTACTGAGGACCAAAATTGATATTTACTCTAGTTTTATTGACCTTTGCTGTTTTCACTCTCAAACTAGACTCTGGTACATTGACTGAAGCCATGTGGGTTACAAAGACTGAGGACCGGTTGTTCGAGATTTTTAAGAAAAAGAGTTTTTATAATTAAAAATGTTAAAATATTTTATACTAATTCGATAATTAAAAAAAAAGGTTAAAATATCAAAAAATATTTTTACTATTTTTCTCAGAAGATAAAAATGTTATTTCATGTTATCAAAAAAAAAAAATTATTTCAAATAAAAGTGTTTCAAAATATCATAAACATTTTTCTAAGCTTAAGCAAAACTGTAATACCCCATATTTTCTTTTAATAAAATAATAATAATAATAATAATATATTAATAAATATTTTTGGATAATAATGATATTTAGTATTTTTGTAATTAATAATATTGGTATTTAATATTTTTAATTAATGAGTTAATAATAGTTAAAATAATAAGAGGTAAGATAATAATAGTAATATTATTTGATTTATGTGATAATATATAATTATATATATATATATATATTAGATGATAAATTATGATTAATTGATTTATTAATTGATTGATATGTATTTATGTTTGATTGATAATGATTGATTAATAATGATCGATTGATAATGTTCGATTGATAATGTTCGATTGGTAATGATTGATTGGTAATGTTTGATGGGTAATGTTGATTGGTAATTTGATTAGATATGATGAGTCAATAATGAGTCAGCCTTGAGTTAGCAAATAAGTTAGCTGTAATCTGAGCCATAAGAAATTAATAATAAAATAGTGTATGAAGCCAATATCTGAGTCAAATACATCAATAAAGAAAAAGGAAATAAATGCACGAAACCCATACCCGAGCCCAAAACTTCAACTATAAATAGAGGCCTAGCCTAAACAAACCAATTCACTCTTTCAACATTTCTCCTCTACTACTCTCTCTTCTTACTTCAAAAGTTTATTTATTTTATTTTCTATATTCTTTTGGTTACCAACCGGTTCTCTGTTCCAAATTATTCTCTTCTAGAAGTTAGCAAAAACGGAGACCAGGTAATCCTAATCCTTAGGTATTTTTAGATTATATTTATTTTATGTGAAATTTGGTATGTGTAATCCTAATCTCTAGGTGGTTGTAGATTCGTTGTGTATGAAATTTTTATTGTGTGTAACCTAATCTTCAGATAGTTATATGTTTGATGTATATGTAATCCTAATCCTTAGGAAATTTTAGAATGTTTTCATTTATTATATGTACCCTTAGGGTATTTAAATTAAATTATTTTAACCTCTATAAATTAATTGGATTAATTATTGGGTTTTGGCTTTATCCTAATAGATATGAATATTTGAATTTTGATTTGAAAAATTATGATATGATGATTGGATTTGAATTTTACCCTGGTAGATGTTGAATATGAAAATTATGATATTCTTGGATAATGAATTTGGAAATTATGATATTATTGAAAGATTGACTTTGGAAATTATAATCTTGATTAAATTGATGTGGAAATCATGAAAACTATTTGACAATTATGAGAATTGTGACAAGATTGAATTGATTGTGTGTGATTGTAATAATTAATAGTGGGAGGATAGCTTTGGGATGGTACCTCCCAAGGTGATGAACACAACTTTTGGGCTTTATGTCTCCGATGTGAAACTGATGTGAAAAAGATTGTATCCGTTCTTTCCAAAGTGGTATCTGGCAGGGTTTCCCGGGATACTAGTAGCAACTTTGGGAAGAGGTGTGCACACTAGGAAGATGTGAATTGATTATGGCCAATTTTGATTATACGTGGCTGATAACAGTGGTTTTTTCCCGGGTCACGGGGTAGACTGACAGGGTTTCCCGGGTCTACCATGGTTCTCTTCTCACTAAATATAATGAACTTAAATATTATTAATGAAAATTGTTATTTGATTTGATTATGAAGAATGTCATTGAGTTGTGAATATTATCATATTATGATTAATGTTGTGCTAAATATGTTAGTTGACAATTACCCTTATACACTAAATGGACGAAATAATCTTAAACATGATTAATAATGATATTAATACTTGATTTGAGTTATGATTAAATGACTTATTTGAATTATTGCTTGATTTATGATTAAATTTCTTATTTGAATTATTACTTGATTATGATTAAATGACATATTTGAATATTGCTTGAGTTATGAATAAATGACATATTCGAAATATTAATTGAGTTGATTATTCTTAAATAAATGTCTTGATTGATATTGGGTTATATTATCCTCGTTTTGTATCTTGATTGGGATTACCAGCTTTGCTGACTTTTGTGTTTGTTTGACTGCAATGATCATGCGGCTGCGGGGGAGCAGATTTTCAGTGAAGCATGTTGCAAAGGATGAGGCTAGCCGTGGGCAGTGAGGATCACGACTCGGATATTTCTAGTTGTCATAAATATTATGTATAAAAAAAAAAAACTGTAGTCTAAGATTTTTATTTGAATGTAATAGAGTTAGCCTTGCGCTTGTCCTTGTACAAGTGCGGCGGTAACACTTCCCAAATTTGATTATTTTGAACTTCCGCTGTTATTTATAAAATTATTGAATTTATTTATGCTATTATAAATTGTTAGAATTTGGGGTGTTACAAAAACACACTCTAAAAAGAGTTGTTTTTTTATTTTTATTTTTATTTTTTTGTCTTTTTAATATTTTTAGGATTCTCACCATTAAAAGAAGGGTTTTATAATTCTCATTTAACATGAGAATTATAATTTTCCTACACACCCTTCGATTTCCGTGCTGACATGAGTCTTACATATAATTTTTTTTAACACATGGGTCCCACATATTTTTTATCTCTACAACATGAGATTTCAATTCTCATTCAACATGAGAATTATAAAACCCTTAAAAGAATGCAGCACTTACATAAAATGTTTTTAAAATTGGATCGACCTTTAAATAAACGAAAGTATTAATTTACGGTATATTACTTTGATGATAAAGCTTAACCAAAACACACTCTAAAAAGAGTTGTTTTTTATTTTAATTTTAATTTTTTTGTCTTTTTAATATTTTTAGGATTTTCACCGTTAAAAGAAGGGTTTTACAAGAGTTATGTTGTAGGAAAATTGATTGTGTAATGTTACAGAGATTCGTTTTGCGTGTCGTAATTTTCTTTTTTCTTCAAAAAGTGTGGGCCTCACAAAATATTGTGTATATAGGAAAATTTGTTGTGTTATGTTAAATGACAAATGCAAACCCCTTAAAAGAATGCAGGACTTACAGAAAATGTTTTTAAAATTGGATCGACCTTTAAATAAACGAAAGTATTAATTTACCGTATATTACTTTGATGATAATTTAATTGGGGTCAAACAAATGATGATTATATATATTTTTTAGTTTTACATTATATATTAAATTATAAACTAACATACTAATAAAGTAATAAGCATTCATGACTAAATAATATGAAAAAAATATAATTTTAATAACAAATATGATTTTTCCTACAAGCAAGAGATAAATTATCTCTTACATAAACGAGAGTGAATGAGCCCTACGAGGAAAAGAAAAAGAAAAATAAGATGAACTCGATTACTTACAATCAAAACATTAAACCAAATACATGTCATATTTAAAAGCTTATAACATTAAAATTACACTTGAAAAATTTCAAAACATGACATGTTTAAAGTAACATCATCTAGTCCATAGAGAGAGAGAGTCAAACGCTATGGGTTTTTTTTTTTTTTTTTGAGTAAACACCCTTTTTAGTTCTTGTCAATATCTACGAAGTTCTTTTTAGTCCCTGACAATAAAAAAAGATCAAATTGGTCCCTGAAATTACAAAAAAGGGCCATGTTAGTCCTTATGTCAACTCCCAAATATGTAGAGTGACCCTTTTCTTGTACTTTCAGAGACCAATTTGGTCATTTTTTATTGCCAGAGACTGAAAAGGACTTCGTAGATATTGCCAGGGACTAAAGAGGGTGTTTACTCTTTTTTTTTTCAAAGCTACAAATAAGTTCAACCAGTTTACTATTAAAATTTACCGGTTTTACTAGTTTTTGATTGGGTTGGCCGGTTATTGACCAGTTATTTAGGCATTTGATTTTGTAAATTTATTGAATTGAGCACCTAATTCATTCATCATTAAACCTGAGTTTAGTCCAATTTTTTCAAATTTGTTTACAAACATTTTTTGAGTTATAAGGCATTGATTATATCTAGGAACACCTTCATCGAACAAAACGGGAATAATAGGAGCGAAGAAACGCTAAGTAAGAGGAAACAAGAACACAGGTTTGGTGCAACTTAGTATATTATATAATGCCATCAATAAAAAAGTTCGTGCATGAAACCTATAGAGCTTTTATTTTATTTTACGAAATAGGTTATATTTATAAACTTTTACAAATTATATTATGTACTCCTGAGAGTATATTCATAATCGAGTTTATTTTCGATAGTACATAATATAATTTATAAGAGTTTGTAAACAAAAAATTTGTA